TGTCTCTGCCAACTTTCTTTTAAAGAAACATGGTTTCCAAGTTAGGAATTAAGGGTAATGTTTTGGTGCTATGTGCTGTGACATATGTACTATTACAGAGCTAGGGACCCAGAAATGCTCAATTCCTGCCTCGCAAATCACTTTACTCCCTCCTAGTTAGAAGATTTCAGTGATCTTACCACTAGCAAGATAAAATACCACTCTAGAGCATTATGTATCAGGCTTTTCTTGATCTGGCTTCTGTTGACTTTTCCACCTTCATCTGCAGCCATTTTTCTCTCCTACGCTCTGAGAAGCAGCTACACCAACCGACTTGAAACCCCTGAATGTGCCATATTGTTTTAGGGTTCTGTGCCTTGGTATATGCTATTCCTTCTGCTTGGAATGCCTTTCCTTACTGTGACTGACTAGTGAAGTCTTGAAGTTTTTTTAAACTAGCCCATTTTTGCACTTGTCTGGCTGTGCCCTAATTACTAGTTTACATGACTGTTTCTCCCCAGTAGTCCCTGAGCCTCTGTGGCACGGAGACTGTGTATTCAGTTTTGTATCTTCATAGCCTGGCACTATGGTAGGGAGTGGTAGATGCTGTACAAGTGTATTAAGCGGAGCTGGCCTGGTGGCGCAGCGGTTAAGTGCACACGTTCCGCTTTGGCGGCCTGAGGTTCACTGGTTCGGATCCCAGGTGCGGACATGGCACCGCGCCGCAAGCCATGCTGTGGTAGGCGTCCCACATATAAAGTAGAGGAAGATGGGCACAGATGTTAGCTCAGGGCCAGGCTTCCTCAGAAAAAAGAGGAGGATTGGCACGTTAGCTCAGGGCTAATCTTCCTTGAAAAAAATACAAAAAAAAAAAAAAATTAAAAAAATAAAGTGTATTAAGGGTTGTCTCACTCAGCAAACTTCCCGTTTCTTTTTCTGCTCTTGTGCTAGGATTGTTTGAGGTTAGTTGCAAATTACTGAAACAAATATTCCGGAGGAGAGAATACATTGTAAACTCTTAGAACAGATATTCTGTGTCTTCTGCTGTTTTGGTGTTTTCTCCTTTGTTTAGAGCAACTCTGGGAGGAGTCTTTACACAGAGAACATTTGAAATACAGATTGCAATGTTCTCAATCCTGGTCCCTGACCCTTCTAGGAACTGTCTGTCTTCATCATCTGTTTTTAATTCTCTTTTTGTCAGTCTTCAAGTTTTCACTCACATTGCCTTCTGCTCATCTCCCGAACGTGTTTAAGTTTCCTTGATCCTTTAACAAGATAATTAAAAAAAACCTTGTCCTCCACTCTGCTGCTTGTTCTAAACTCTTTCCCCATCTCTCTTCTCCTTTTCATTATTTTTTTAAAAGAGCTATTTGTGTTTGGTGCCTTCACTTGTTCATGTTCTACTCACTCAGCTTCCTGGAATCTGACTTTGGACATTACCGCTAACAAAAAGCTTTCCTTCAAAGGTATCTAGCACCTTCCAGCTTGACAATCCAACTGTGTTTCTTCAGCCATAACGCCACCTCTTCTCTCTCTAGGTTTTGACATTGTAGTGTTGATGATCTTTTCCTTTTTTAAAATGTTTTGCCACTCTCAGCTTCTGTGTCGTGGCACTATCGTACTTTCTTGTCTTTCTCTGATTATTGCGTTTCATTGGGAAAGTGGGGAAGTGTCTTATATTTGGGGTTACCATATATTTGGGCATATATGATAATTTCTTTATCCATTTACACTCATTCAATAAATATTTATTGAGTAAGAACAAAGTGCCAGGCACTGGATATGTAGTGGAGAGCAAAACAGATATGGTTTAACTTTCTAATGTCTGGAGTTTCAACTTTGTATCTGTTATCTATTGTCATAAAGCAGATTACCACAAGCTTAGTGGCTTAAAACAACAGACATTTATTATCTCACAGTTTTTATGGATCAGGCATCTGGGCATGGCTTTGCTCTGCCCTCTCCTTCAGGGTCTCTCACAAGGCTGCAGTCATGGTGTCAGCCAGGGCTGGAGTCTCATCTGAAGCCTTGACTGGGAAGCAATCTGCTTCCAAGCTGTGATTTTTTTGTTTTTTGGTGAGGAAGATTGGCCCTGAGCTAACATCTGCACCAGCCTTCCTCCATTTTGTATGTGGGATGCTGCCACAACATGGCTTGATGAGTGGTGTATAGGTCTACGCTCGGGATCTGAATCTGCAAACCGTGGGGTGCTGAAGCAGAACACGTGAGCTTAACCACCATGGCACTGGGCTGGCCCCAAGCTGATGTTGATGTCAGCAGGATTCATTTCCTTGTGGACTGTTGGGCTAAGAGCCTCAGTTCCTTGCTGGTTGTTGGCCACAGGCCACCCCCAGTTCTTTGTGATGTGGACCTCTCTCTAGGGCAGCTTGTTTCATGAGAACCAGCAAGGAAGAGAATCAGTAGAGTTGGTTAGCAAGATAGAAGTTATAACTTTATGTAATATGTTCCTGGAAATGACATCTCATCACTTTTATTGTATTTTAATGGTTAGCATCAAGTCATAGATCCAACCTACACTCAAGGGGAGGAGATTACATGGAGCAAAAATACCAGGAAGCAGTGATTCACTGGGGGCCAACTTAGAGTCGACCTGTCACAAACCTCTTATTATTTTTTCTTAGATGTTCCAGCCCTCTCAATTTCTACTGCTCTCAGATTGAACTCACTGCCCTTCTCTCCCCCAAACTTGCTTCTCATCCTGTATTCCCTGTCCTGGTCAGCAGCCTCATATCCGTCCAGTCATCTAGTCTAGACCCAGAGATCATTTTCATTACCTCCTCCTGAGGTTTAATGGGTCACGAGGTCCTGTACATTCTACGTCTGTGGCGTCTTTCATATTGTTCTCTACTTCCCAGTCACACTGACGTGGCTTTAGCTCAGATCTCACTTTTGCCTGCAGCATTATATTAGCCTTCTACCTGGCTTCTCTGCCTAGTTTCCTTTCTCATCAATCCTCCTTCTCACAGCCACCAGTGCTGCTTTCATAAAACCCTCTGTTCAGAAACCTTCGTGGCTCCCAGCTGTCAATGGCACAAAGGCCCAACTTCTCAGTGTGCCATTCAGACCTTTTTACAGTCTGACCTCTGCTTACTTTTCCAAGCCTCTTGTCCACCACTCTCTGCAGCTGCCCTTATGCCCCAGGCACACTGGGCCGCTTGATATTTCCTGAACCCACCCCCGCATGTTTGTGCCTCCGTGCATTTTGGTACTATAGTTACTTCTTCTTGGATTCCCTCCTCCCCAGTTCTTTCTCTAGAAATCCTTTATATACTTACAAACCTAACTGAAAAATCACCTCTGCTGTGAATCCTTTCCCAATTTTTCCCCTGCCTCACTCAGAATTAACCAGTAGCACCTGTGTGTTCTCTCAGCTGTCTGCGTGCACCACTGTTCTAAGACTGTTGTTTTGTAGTTTGCTGTCTGTGGTTTTGTAGTTGGTTATTAAGATGCCTCTCTCTTCAAAAGCCAAAGGGTAGGGTCTGGGTCTTTTCTTCTATGCATCCGAAGTTCTTGCCCCTGGAGCAGTGATTCATAGTCTTGGCTGCACGTTGGAGGCACCCGGGGAACTTTGACCGTCACCGATGTCTGCGACCCACCCGTAGAGATGAGGATGTAGTTGGTCTTAGGTTCAGCCTCGATGCAGGCGTTTTTAAAGCCCGGTGATTCTAACACGCAGGTAAAATTGAAAGCCACTGCTTCTGATCGAAGAAATCAAGTCTCTGGGAGAGTGAAAGGACGACAAATGTTAAACATTTAATGAATAGGAAGACTTTAAAACTAGAGTTAAAGCTAAGTTTTTAAAAATCACACACACTTTAAATAGTCTAAGACATAGCTAAGTAATCAAAATGATCTCTAAATGGATGGCCAATGAAATGGGGGAATATGTATTTTTGTGGTACTGAAGGGAAATCAGAAATGTAAAAGAACAACAATGTAGTCTCTCAAAATCCAACACTTTACTCTTTTTCTTTTTGTAGGTTTTATTTTAAAGTTAGAGTTACAGAAAAGTTGCAAAGATAGTAGAGTTCCTGTGTAGCCTTCACCCAGCTTCTCCTAATGTGAACATCTTGCAGGACCGTAGTGCAGGGATCAAAACCAGGAGACTAATAGTGGTGCAGTGCTTTTTAACTGAACTACAGACCTTACTTGAAATTCACCACTTTTTCCACAAACGTCCATTTAATTTTTTTTTTGAGGAAGATTAGCCCTGAGCTAACATCTGCTACCAATCCTCCTGTTTTTGCTGAGGAAGACTGGCCCTGAGCTAACATCCATGCCCATCTTCCTCTACTTTATATGTGGGACACCTGCCACAGCATGGCTCGACAAGCATTGCCTAGGTCTGCACCCCAGATCTGAACTAGCAACCCTGGGCCACCAAATTAGAACATGAGAACTTAACCACTGCGCCTCCAGGCTGTCCCCCCCCTTTTTTTTTTTAAAGATTTTATTTATTTATTTTTCCTTTTTCTCCCCAAATTCCCCCAGTAAATAGTTGTATATTTTAGTTGTGGGTCCTTCTAATTGTGGCATGTGGGACGCCGCCTCAGCATGGCCGGATGAGTGGTGCTCCCAGGATCCGAACTGGCAAAACCCTGGGCCACCGAAGCCGAGCTCTCGAACTTAACCACTTGGCCACAGGGCCGGCCCCTTAATTTTTATTTTTTTAAATTGAGGCCACATTAGTTTATAACATTATATAAATTTCAGGGGTACATCGTTATATTTCAACTTCTGCATAGACTACATCATGTTCACCACCAAAAGTCTAGTTGCCATTGGTCACCATACACCTGTGCCCTTACCCCTTTTCTCCTCCCCCCACCCCCAAACACTTTAATTTTTGTGCATATGCAGTAAGCAATAAAATGAAACAAAGAACCACCTGGAATAATTAGCGTTTCCCTTTTTGTTTAGCATTAAAGTGTGTGTGTGTGGTGTGTGTCAAAGGTGTAACTTACTTGCAAGTTATTCTGATTTCCTCCTTTATTTTCTAGGAATATTTTGAAGACAATTGCCCTGGGTCAGCTCTTGTCCTTGTGCATATGTGGGACAGCCATCACCAGCCAGTATTTGGCAGAAAAATACAAAGTGAACACCCCCATGCTTCAGAGCTTTATCAACTATTGCCTGCTTTTTCTAGTTTACACAGTGATGCTCACATTTCAATCAGGTAGGTCAAATGGGAGAATTACCTTTTCAACACATTATCTTCCTAAAAACTTTTGGCTTCTAGACACTTAAAAAATAAAAGGAGGCAAAACCAAGAACAGGAAACTATTGCTATTTTTATTAAAGTTATTAGAAAAGTATGACACCTCTGAATTCTATGAAAATAGTGACTAGAGAATTATGCATAACTCTCTGAAATTGTTGGTTAAAATAAACAGCATCAAACTGTAACAGTAGCTGTCAAAAAAAAATATAAGTGCCATTGCAAGTGAAGTTTTATTTTTATTCCCTGTGGATGATAAAATTAAGAGACAATATTAAAAACACTAAAAGAGTCAAGAACTTCACTCTCCAACATATATATTTCCAGCTAAGTGGAGAATGCTAAATGGAACGTTGATTGCACACAGATCAAGTCTGTTGTGAGAGAAACAAAGACAAGGAATCGGCAAGGAGTTCACGTCTTGATCACTGGCTGGTTACGTTGTTATAGATTCATTGTAGAATTATCATTTCTCACTAGCTACCTTCCTATGTGTCGGGATAAATAACTTATTATTATTTTTTTCATTCAGTAGGTGTTTATTGAGCACCTACGGTGTGCCTTGCACCATGCTGGGCAGCACAAGATGTAGTGGTGAGCACAGTTGGACCTGGACCCTGCCCCGAAGAAGTTATGGTGTCCTTAGGATGCAGAAAGTCAAATGCCCACGGGATAGAGCAATTGGATCTGTGATGGGGGAAACTCAGACGAGGGACCCAGAGGAGGCTCCTGACCTGGCCAGGCATCCAGGGAGGGCTTCCCAGAAGAGGTGATGCCCAAGCAGTGTGGAGTCAGCAACGTGAAGGGGGTGTGGGAGGAGGGCAATGTGTTCGGAGGGGAGGAGATGGCATTTACAAAGGTGGGGCTGGTGAGAGAGAGGGAGGTGCACTAGCAGAGCCAGCCGGGCCCTGAGTGTGGGCAGGGTTTGGATAAAGGTGAGGAGGGAGAGAAGCAGGGGTGTGGGAGGTGATAAGTGAGTGTACGGTGGGAAGAATATTTTGGAGTCAGACCAATCGGGGTATGAATGCTCAGGTGAGTCATTTCTCTTCTCTGAACCTGAGTTTCCTCTCCCTAAGATGAGGGTAATGACAGCTTACAGGTCTGTAGTGAGGGTGACAGAAAACAGGGACAAGCTCCTTACACATTGCTTGTCAGAGAGAGGAGCCCATAGGTAGTTCCTCTTTTTAGTCCAGGCACAAGAAACCATGTGGGCAAATGCCCAGAGGCAGGGCTGGGTCCCGGGAGACAAACAGCCCCCAGCTTGGGGCACACCCAGGGCCGGTGTGCAGAGCAGGGACCTGTGGCCACGAATGTCAGGGTGGCTTTGACATCGGACTTGGCTGAGGGCATCGGAGATGCTCACCCTCCTGTGACTCCCATCCCAGAATTCACTGCATTCAAGCCCCTGAATGTCACTAGGGTAGACTCGAGAAGGCCTCTTTGCTTGACAAGGATGTTTATCTGTTAGGGACTGCTTTCCCAAAGTTGTTTTGACTGCAGAACCTTTTTTCCAGTTGAAAGTGCCCTCAGAACCTTGGACAAAGCAGAGCTGCTCTAGTGGAGGGGGTGTGGGGGTGTCCCCAGAGTCCTGGTGGCTCGGTCTCCCCCACCCCACCCCATGGGCAGGCTGCCAGCCAATTTGAAAGCCTCTGCCCCGGGTGGGTTTAAAGGACCTGAAGCTGGAACCTGAGGAGATGGGGGCGGTGGGGGGGTGGGCAGGAGCCCCAGAGCTGGTGGCTGATGCCCACCCCACTGGCCGGCTTCCCCTTGACCCCCATTTCCACAGCCCGGTGTTCAGTCATGCAGGCTCAGAATTTTTCCTTCATCAGGGCCTGCAGATATAAGCAGACTCCTGGGGAGTAGCCCCTCAGCTGAAGTCAGTGTAAACTGGCCTCCTGTTTATTCATCCACAAAGTAGTAGTGGAATAGTCCTATTTATAGCTGCGTGAACATGGGCGAGAGTCTTACACCCCACCCCCTGTGCCTCGGGCCTCAATAAATAACTTATTTTTGAAAGAAAATAGAAACCAGTTGTGGGAGCGGGGAAAACATCTTAAGGGGAAAGCACTACATTTGGCAAGAGCTTTAGGAATTGGAAATAGAAGTGGTACATGGTTAATAAGGCAGGACTTTGCCTTTCTCTGTAAGCGTTGGCCTTTAGGAAGTCCGTGTGGTTCACCAGCACATCAGTGAGGTCCTGCTAAGGGATGGTTGTCAGGTGCCTTCCCTGCTGTCTCATACTGAGGAAGACTAACTCTGTGTATTCAGGATGTCCCTGCGAATTGGGTTTTATTGATAATTATTTGGTTATGATTCTCATTACCTTTATTTCCTTGTAGGTTGTCTTACCATAAAGCTTTCTCATATATACGTCAACTCTGTATCTCCTATGATTCTAGTTCTCTGAAGAAGGGAATCGCAGTTAACTTGAATAAATAGAATTTGGGGGATAAAAGGTGTTATTTCAATGGTGGCACTAAATTTTTTTTCCAAGCTTGTCACCAACTTAATTTTCACTTAAAAGCACATCTCTTCCAAAAGAATGACCACATGCAGAGTTTCCTTTGAAGAAGCCCATGAATGGAGGTTAAATAACCAATGAATTCTTAGGAAAACATTTTCTTTCCTAGGCTAATCTGTGGCTTGTCAGGAATGGCAAAATCCAAACCCACATCTGGGTATTATATTTCGGTTACAATGGGAAAGGGGATTGAACCACTTCTCTCCTACTTACTCTCTCTCTGGTGCTTTCATGGAATACTTGGTCTGCAATGACACCTTAGCTTGGGGCTCATAGTAGAAAAAATCTAACCGACTCTGCTGAGCTGTCGCAGGAGTTTGGGTTATGAGTAACAGACATCAGGAGGGGCCACGTTCAAAAGACACGGTGTATACCTTTGCTTTGACTCTTTAATCTCTAAATTAATGTGCATGGTATCATTTTCCAGTAACATGGACTAACCCAGATTTCTTTCAACCAGGCAGCGGTAACCTTTTATACATCTTGAAAAGAAAATGGTGGAAGTACATCCTGCTGGGACTAGCGGATGTGGAAGCTAATTACCTAATTGTCAGAGCGTACCAGTACACGACCCTAACCAGCGTCCAGGTAAGAGGGGGGTCCTCTCACCACTTTGGATTTTACAGCTTCGCCAGAAGAATCCAAACTCGTATGTGTTAACCTAATTTTATTGAAAACCTGTTCACTTGGAGAAAACCCAAACACAGGTGGATGCTATCTGTTTTCCAGTGGAGCATATGCAGTAATGAGTAAGGTTTCTTGGAATTAGTGAAAACATATACAAGTTAGTCAGTGCCCACACTGCTAATGCCATAGCACATTGGAACAGTTTCTACCAAAATAAGCATAAATATTTAGTTGGCAGTTGATGCTGTGATGTTGACAAGAGTTCTGTATTATGTGTTGCTCAAACATGGCATATAAAGTGGATGTACCTTTGTGTTACAGAAAACATGGAGCTTTGTAAATAAAGTTGATATTTAAGATAAAGGAGCGATTGGAAGAAACCTATTAGACATCTTGGGTAGAGATGGTAGTCTAAAGTAAAACTTACATTTCTGTTCCTTTATTAGGTTTATTCTTGCTGGATTGAAAGAAAAATGTTCCTGTATAGCAGTACTTTTCAACTTGGCCGAATTGAGGAAGACTGATTTAGTTGTCTTAATGTTAGCCAGCTCTGGGGTGTGTTATAACACTGAGTCACCATTACTGACAACAAAATGTTTTATAAATGGAGGTGAAACTGAGACAGACTCCAGGGCCAGGTTTAGACTTCACAGTTTCATGAATTCATAACTTTCGATGCATCGCTTTTTTATATGAAACAGAGATGTTCTTATTTGACCTCCAAATTTTAAGAATGTGGAAAAATTGAAGTGAGATTAGACTTGTTTCACTTGGAAAAGATAAGGATTAATGAAAACTCAGTATTTTTCCAATGTGAATATACGTTGAGTGCTATTATTACCAGAATGCATTTTATTAAATATTGTCTTTTCTATAACATTGTGTCAAGCATTGTCCTCAGCAAACCTCTTGGCTTTTGACTGGCATGGGATAAAAAGCCAAGACAGGAAATATTTGTTAAGACAGACATCATAGGAGACACATGAAAAACCCAGATTTTCATAAAAACTAAAACCAGGAGTTACCTAGAGGATGAAGTTCATCACAGATAGGATTAAGTGTACTGTTAGCAGTGGATAATAAGGGTAGAAGTATGTAGAAAACGGCATTTTTCTAGTCACATCTACCCTCATAATCTCACCCACAGTCTAATTACTTGACTACGATTTCTGTAAACTTTGATCTCTGACTAATGATGATTAGAAGTTTTGAATTGGTGCAAGGTCTAAACACAGCTAAACAAAACACTTACAGTTGGGTTTTTTTGTGACTGAAATTCATGCTTTATACTAATTCATGAATAATTTCTTTCATCCTAGCTTCTTAGAAAAACCTAAGCATTTGGTCAACAAAAGTTATGTACTTTCGGTCCTTGCTAGGAGTATATTATAAAAAAGATATCTAACAGCTAAAGCTCCCTCCAGCAGTGGAACGTGCCTGTCCTGGGAATTCTTTAAGATCTTTCTCTACCTAAGTAAATCTCTGGCCAGGGTAATCGGAAAGGGTGGAAGTTTGAATTAGATGGTCTTTGAATCTCCTTAAAGACTCCTTTAAAGATTCTGTAATTACAAGTAGTAATGTAGTTTCCATGAAGTTCCTGATGTAGCCACTCACATCCCACGGCCTAGGTTCCTTCTCACGTCTCTGCCCACTTTACTGCCACACTACCCCTTCCCCACCCACAGCCAGCTTCTTCTCTCCTGTGCTGCTCTATTCTTTCTAGAATGCAACCCTTTTGAAGACCCCTCCTCCATTCTCTAAGGCCTCATTCAATTTGACTTTCTCCTTTCTACTCCATTTCGTCTCTAATAGAGTCTATTCATTTTTATACCTTTGCCTCCCATCACCCCAGGGTCTTACTTAGTACCTTGCTTACTGTGACTGTAAAATAATTTTTAAAGATTTTTTTAAATAGGGAGATTCTTGGAACTAAAAGCATCAAGCAGAAGACATCTGTCACCAAGAATGCATTTAGAAAAGGAGAATCGATGTAGATAAATGACTGAATGTGGTAGCTATCGGATGAGAAGTCGTGGAATTTTAGAGTTGGAAGGGACCCATGAGATCGTTTGGTCTGATGTCGTGATTTCTTACTCTAACTCCATTATATGGCTACTCATTGCCCACCAAAACTGGTTAAAAATAGAGCAGATTTAAGTTTGATTTTAAGACTCAATTTGAGGCCCCTGGGAGTCTCCTGTGAGAGTTTTTGAGTGACTTGCTTTGGGTGCGGAATGTAGTTTAGGCTTTGTTAAGTCGTTATGGCTGAATTATGCCCGTGTCTTCCGGGACAGGCTATTATCATTTTCATCGTTTAATGGTTTGTTATTCAGGCAGGCTCGATAAAGCACTTAGGAGATTAGAGTTCTGCAGTTGGAATAAATAACAGGCAAGGTGCCCATTCCTACACATGGCGCGTCGGACCCAGTAATGACATTGCAGCGAAAGGCAATCAGTAAAGAACTGTGGGCAGGATCACACAAGCTGCTGGAGATTTAGGGTCCTGCCTTGTTCGAGACTAAACAGAGAGAGAAGCAGGGACAAGGTGAAAAAAAGAACAGGGTGAGCAATAAAACGGCAGTTTCAGGAATATGATTAGTGCAAGGAATATATTTTGTCCTTGAATGCGCTTTGCAAAATTTGTGAAATTAAGAAACAAGTGAATGAAATCTCTCTTTTTCCTTTATCTTACAAATGATTTTGGATTGGCTGTAGTTTTGGCACTCTTCATCCCCCTGCTTTTCAGACTGGCAATATCAGATGGCAGGGGTGTAGCAAGTATTTTCTAGATCCAGGATCAACAGTGATGGAGGAGTATATGATGAAGACCAGCAAGAGCATTTGCTGTGAGCAAGTGTGTGTCTCACATGGGGGGCTGGACACTTTGTCAAGGAGATGGTGTGTGCTTGCTTTCTCATAGTAACCTGTACTTCTTTGCAGCTCATAGCCCAATTTCAATTAAATTTCTGGTTGTGTGATGATTTATTCTGTCTGTCTAGCCTTCTATATGCTCCTGAGGGTGGGGCTTGTGTCTCTCTTGTTCTTCTCTGTATTCCAGCTCCTCTCAGAGTGTCTTCCACGTGTGAGGTGCTTAGATATTTATTGACTGAGTGAATGGGTACACACAGGAAGGAAAGTTTGCCTACTGGACTTAGGATAAACACAGGTGGGAGTGTCGAGGTAAATTGCACAGGCCCTCAAGCAGAATTCCTGGTTCAACAACTGGCTCTCTCACTTTCGACTGTGTGATTTGGGGGAGCTCATTTAACCTCTCTGTGCATTGTTTTCCTCATGTGTAAAACGGGGTTTGCAGTTACAATCTCATAGCATTACTGTGAGGGTTCAATGAGTTAATCTGAGTAAAGCATTTAGTACAGAGCTGCAATAATGAATGCTCAATAATGCCAACTTCTATTGTTACTTAATTCCCCATCTCTTAGCTAATGAGAGATGTTTTAAGCTGTTTGTTTCTCCTTCCTTCAGCTTTTGGATTGCTTTGGGATTCCTGTGTTGATGGCTCTCTCGTGGTTTATTCTCTATGCAAGATACAGAGTCATCCACTTCGTTGCCGTGGCTGTCTGTCTGCTGGGCGTAGGCACTATGGTTGGTGCAGACATATTAGCAGGGAGGGAGGACAATTCAGGTAAGACTGTGCTCCTTGTTTCTGGTTCAGTCAGAGAAAACAATTTTGCTTATGTTTTCGCTTTTATTTTGCAGAGACCTAGTAAAAGGCAGAAAACATGCCATGGTTAATTATCTTTTAAATTTTATTTTCAGATTTACTTGCTTTTAGTATCGTAACCACTTCCACAGAGCAATCTTTATGTTCCTACCTGCCCACAGTCCTGGTTCCCTTTTCTCACACTAAATAGTTTTGTTTTGTCTCCTGAGAGAGCAGTTTCTTTCTATATTTGCGATAATCTTCCTTTGGCCCATACATTTGGATTAGTTACTGGAAAACCTACTGTAGATTCTTGTTTTTTTAATCAAAAAGGAGACGTGGTGTCCACTGGATGGCTGACTTCTTTTTCAGTCACTCTAGATGAAAACACTTTGATATTCTTTGAGTCAAAGTTCAGACAGTGGACAGCATAAAATCTCAATAAGCTCTGTGAATTCACCCAATCTATAGGTGACTTCATTGTCTCCTTAGATTAAGAGGGAAATGACCTTGCTTACCTGGCTTTCTTCTCTATAGTTTTCAGTTAATTCCCTTCAATAAATTCTATTAGTTTCTCCTGTCATAGAACCCTTTTCTGAGGCCTTACATTGTGGTGTAGACTACCATCTTCCAGTCTGTTAGTCTGTGAGGAGTCACAATATGAAACCTCACAGCAGAATTGGGCCAGAAAGTGAGGAGAGCAAGAGTCTTTAAACCTCTAGAAATCAGGGCTTCTCCTTCCATTAAATCATATTTGAATGAACTTGAGCCAGATAAACTCTTGGGAACAGGCTAGAGAGGTTTCCCCATTGATAATGTGTTCCTTTTTGCGACTTCCCATAGGTAGCGATGTACTGATCGGCGACATCTTGGTCCTCCTGGGGGCTTCCCTCTATGCCGTTTCTAATGTGTGTGAAGAATACATCGTGAAGAAGCTGAGCAGACAGGAGTTTTTAGGAATGGTGGGCTTATTTGGAACACTTATCAGCGGCATACAGCTGTAAGAGTCTAAAATTTTTTTAAAAGCGAAATAAGCAAATATGTCGTAAATGCTTACTTTCCAACTACTGACCTTCATTGTTTATTTGGTCCAAATTCACATTTGAAATCAGTCACTTGCTAAATATCTATTAGAGGATTGTTGAAACATCAAGAATTATGCCTCGTTTTCTTGTACATGTGTGATGCTTAGGATTCCTGCTCACAGTGTGGTAGAGGCATCACCAGGAAAGACTTTCTTTTTCAATTATTTCCAGAAAATATTAACTTCCTATTCAAAGGGAAAACATCATGTCATGTTTTCCTCCTGTAGCTGACTGCCACTGAAGAGTGCTCCTAAGGATGTCAAATATATATTTATGGGCTCCTTTGGATTTATTCTTGGTCATTTTTATAAAGATAGTTATTTTTATACCCCAAGAAAAATTCAAAAGTCAACATAATTCCTTACCTTAGCCGAAGTAGACCAACTAAAATGCCTATAAAATCGTGAAAATTAGTATGTGGATCTCTCTGTGACCCTTTGTTTTAATCTTAGATTGATTGTGGAATATAAGGATATTGCCAGCATTCACTGGGACTGGAAAATTGGTATGTACATAAATGATAATTCTTTTTAGTCAGTATCTTTTTCTCTGACTGACAAAAACATGCATCAAGAAATACTTCATTTTAATAGTATTTAGACATTTTTGTAAAATCACAGGGTAGTTCAATACACAGAGAGCTATAGTGGTTTACACTGAGTTTTCTCTGAGAACTTGTAAATGAACCTCCGTTTAATTCCATAGAAGTTAATTCTTAATCTTCACCTTCAGAAATAGCCTTTCTTTATTAGGAAATCTGAACAAGACTGACCTTTGGTCACACCTTTCAATTAGATCTGTATCTGGAGTCCTCATACTTCTTGTGAAGGTTGTCTGCTTGATGGAATTTGTGAAGCATGAACCTGAATAATCTGACGGTGTCTGACGGTGTGTAATCACCCACCACCTTCCGTGGCTGCTCCCATGTGAGATTCCTAGGCATCTGCACAAATAAATAACGTAGGAGAAAACAGTGGCAGGACAGTTTGGAAGGCTTGGAACCTTATTTAATGAAGAGTGGAAAGAAGTTAAATAGTCCGTAAAGTGCCATTGCAGTTCATGTACCATGCTTAGATAATTGAACTCAATTAAATAACTTACATTGCTTGTGTGTGTGTGTGTGTGTGTGTGTGTTGGGTATTGGGGTGAGATTGGAGAAGGGGTTGCAAAGCAGAGATTTGGCTGAATAGTCAGCACCCACATAACCAGCTCTGTTCTAAAGAGGGTGGTTATATTGTGCTATCTGGGGGCACTGAATTTAATGAGATGAAAAAACATAGCGGACCTAACAAATGCCTTTGATGCTCTAAAAAGACTTTATTCTGAGTCCAGTTACACAAATAATATCCAACCAACCCACCAGATAAAAGCAAACAAAAGATAATGTGTGATTTTTCTCGACCTTTGCTTTTATTACCTATTATCACAGGCATCACTCTTCCCTGGGTGGGTAGATGACATGGGTGGTAAGAGCTGTTGAGTCAGTCACACCATAAGCAAGATTTTATGGCCATGACCATCCAACACCTTGTTGAGTTTTTACGTCCTTCGTTGACATCCTGTCTCGTTATTATTCTTTCTTTCCTGAGAGCTTGGTGTGTCTCATTTGCAATGCTGACTGTTAACAAGGGGCTTTGTAGATAGCGTATTAAAGGATCAGGGAGTTTTATAATGCGGCCAAGCCTTAAGCACCTTTGCCTTCTGATTTCTTCCTATAATATTAGCTGTTCCATCTTTTCACAGCTCTGCTGTTTGTGGCATTTGCCCTCTGTATGTTTTGCCTGTACAGCTTCATGCCTCTGGTGATTAGAATCACGAGTGCCACTTCTGTCAACCTGGGCATCCTGACCGCGGACCTCTACAGCCTCTTTTTTGGACTCTTTCTGTTTGGCTATAAGGTAAGCAAACAGGTCACGTTCAAATAAGAACGCTTGCTTAGTCCAAAAGAAGTAGCGGGTTTCTTCAAGATTTTAGATCCAAAAATAAAACCTCATCCTCTTGGCAAGAATTTCATTGGGACTGTCCTTACTCCTTTTGGTACTGCTTCTGAATTAGAAAATTGATCCAAATAAGACTTGCTCTTCTAGGGTTTTTCTAAAAGGTAAAATGTAGTGAATTTCCTCTTTGGTATGGCCTGGGACACTAGCGTATGGAAATGCTAATACATGTTGCCAGGTGTTAAACAACCAATCCCAGAGCTGCTCTTGACCTTGAAGGACCATCTAACTTAGGCTGGGCATTCTGAGCTCCCCCCGACCCCCCAGCTTTATTGAGATATAATTGATTTACAAGTTTAAAGTGTACAATCTGTTGATTTGATACAATTTTATGCTGCAAAGCCGTGGCACACAGATAAAAAGTCTGGGGCACCTGATGGAAAGGAAGGAGATAGGTGTGTTATCATGTATGCAGTAGTTGGAATGGTTCCATCTTTGTTGGTAATTTTAGATCTGGAAGGGACCTTAAAGGCAATTTAATCTAGTGTTTTTTCAGACTTTTCCTGTCTCCACAGCATCACAGTATTCATAAATGTAACCTCCTCCCATCAGTAACAGCTCTTGTTACATGTAGTAATTCCAAAGAGGAGCAGGGGGCGGAGAATGGATCAGTGTCTTCAAGGGAAGTAAGAGAGCATATATGTAGTTTGACAAAACAGCATCTCCAGAGAGTCTGGTACACCTTCCAGTGAGAATTACTGATTGAACTATCTCATTTTAGAGATGAGGAAATGAAGGCCTAGGGAGTTTATGTGCAGAAATGATTTACCCTTGTTGATGCAAATAATCCATTGTCAATCTATAAATCAAAATTGGGTTGAGTTTATAATGAGCCAGATCTGAGGACTAGCCAGGGGCCTTCCTTCCCCAAGCAAGGAAGGGCGTCAAAGAAGCAGGATGTACAGAGTGGTTATATACTATCTTGGAACAAAGAGCATACATCACATATGACAGGAATGTCCCTTTTACAATTGTCACAAGATGCTTAGGTGGCACAGTAGGTCAGTGGTCAGTGGTCAGTGGTCACAAGGTGAGCACAGCAGGTTGGTAATTAATCCTTAGTTCCCAGGAAGAGAGGCTCATCCTTAAACAAATGCCTATATGGGGAAAGTACATCCCTATCTTTTGGGGCATCATTCTTGTCTTTGGGACACAGAGATATTTAAAGCAGATGTACACTGCATCAACAGGCTACGTCAGCTCCTTTTGGAAAAACAAGGTCAGGCTGAATTAGTTTTAAACCAAATGGCTTCCTCATGTATCCTAGTGCTTTTCATTTATTTATCACCCTTAATCAGCAGCTGTTTAGTGGTAAAGTCAAGCCTAAGTCCAAGTTTTTAGTTTTATAATTCAGTCTTCTTTCCACTGCACCTTTCTCCTTATTTTCTTTAAGATGAGACTGTCAAGCTTGTGTATTCATCAAGTTAAAAATCTCATCCATCAGAGAGAACAAATAAGTAGATTTTTTTGTACTTCACAGCTAATTTGAGAGCTGTTAGGACTGCAGTCTTCATACTGTTTGGTCTCAGGACCCTTTTAAAGGCTTAAAAATTGAGGACTCTAGTCACTTACATCTATTATTTACCATATTGGAAATTAAAGCTGAGAAATTTTAAAAATGTTTACTAACTTGTCAAGAAAATAATAAACTCATATGTTAACATAAAATATTTTTATGAAAAAACTGTATTTTCCAAAATAAAAAAACAGTGAGAAAAATGGCAATGATTTACAGTTTTGAAAATCTCTTTAATGTATGGCTTAATGGGAAACAGCTGGATTCTCACATCTGGTTCTTCCTTCTGCATCGTGATAGCCCATGTCACGTAGCCTCTGGAACATTCCACTGTGCACTTGTAAGAGAATGCAAGTTAAAAGGCATATAACGTCTTAATGTTATTATAGTAAGAGTTTTGACCCTACAAGTCCCTGAAAAGGTCTTGGGTACCCTCCAGGTCTTTGGACCACATTTTGAGAACTGCTGCCTTAGAAATTTGTCTCTCCTTAGTTTACCTTCACTAAATGCTTATTGATCTGCTTTTTTCCCCACAGTCATTTGAACAAATAGTTAAGATGTTGGCTCTTACTTGATAATTTTAGTTTCAGTAGGGGATAGCAACTGTATTTCTTTGTCCCTGTAAAATTTTGTATCCAGGCAGAAATCCTTGGCAGTGACTTTCCCTACTCCCAGGAACTGGCCATGAACTCACAATGCCAAGTTCAGTGGGTTCTCAGATATTTCTGCTTAAGAAGCATAAACCATGTTGCCTCGCAAGGTTGCATGTGACAGGAGCCAGCTGTTATCTTTGGAAACTTGCTGGTCGAGGTATTCCTGACCTAAGACTGAAGGAGTATTTATAGCTTTTTGGTAGCATCATTAAAAAGTAACAAAAGTCAGAGTGAATCAGAGAAGTGATCCTGACAGACCTAGATTTTTTTTTCTTTGAGAATGGAATTGCCAAGGGCTGCAAAGTCAGCCTTAAAAATGAATTGTTTTTTTGTGGTGCTGTGCTTGCATTTCACATGGCCACCACTAGGGGATGATGGTGTTTCTATTCTGCAGTTCAAGGCCAGTTGATAGCTACCCATACCCAAAGAACCTGAGAGCTTGGTGGTATAACGTGTGACCCCATTCACTTGTGCTTTTTTTTTTTTTTAAACCAAACATATTGATTTAACTTCAGTAGTTTAACTTTTGCTTTTCCCTCGGAAGTAAAATAATGTCCAAGGAGTAAGTATGGTTAAAGAAATGAGAGTACATTTGTCACTACATATTATAAGCTCCCTTAACATAGATATTTACTCTTTAACTGCTCCTAACTTTAACATGAAAAACCTTTTTGTGTGTCATTTTTTTGGCCACATGTTTTTAAACTATTATTCTCAAAACTGGAGCATTCAAACTGTAAATTCTTTTCCAGTTCTTTCACTTTATGTTTCTTTGTCCCTATGTGTCTGCATGCCCTACATGCTCATTCTTTTTTTTTTGGTAAGGAAGATTGGCCCTGAGCTAACATCTGTTGCCAATCTTCCTCTTTTTTTTTTTTCTCCCTGAAGCCCCAGTACATAGTTGTATATCCTAGTTGTAAGTCCTTCTAGTTCTTCTATGTGGGATGCTGCCTCAGCATGGCTTGATGAATGGTACGTAGGTCTGCGCCCAGGATCCGAATGAGCGAACCCCAGGCCGCTGAAGCAGAGTGCACAAACTTAACCACTACACCACTGGGCTGGCCCCATACATGCTCTCGCTTAACTCAGATTAGATTTTATTGTTTTTGGTCAGAGGCCATTTCAAGACTTATAAAGCACAGATCAGGTCAGCTGTGATCTTCAGATTATTCAGAGCTTAAAGAAGATCACTAGCATTTTAGAAGTAGTTTATAAAGACAGAATCGTAAGCCCACTACACCACCAATTTTGAAAATTATAGTATCCAAAATAACTTTGGCTCTGAGTTTTTGAAACAGACAGTTGAAAAAGAGGTTTAAAAATGTCTCCACTCACCTGTGTCGGACTCTGCTTTCTTTGGAATTGATCTTGAGTAAATACTTTTTGAACAGAGTAGCCACAGGAAACTTCCGGTATAGATCCAAACACAAAGGGTAGAATTTTAAAAAAGCAAAAAGGTAAGAGCGTCTAATACAGGAGACTTACCTCCCTCCCTCAGAGGCTCTCCCTTCTGCAGGTGCCTCCATTTAATCACTGCCTTCTTAAGAGGGATACGATACTTTTTCTTCTAAACGTTTAAGACCACCAAAACGTTTGGGCTATTCGCAATAGCTTTATCTTCCCCTAATATTTTCTGAATCACATTTTTTCCCCCAACCAACATTTGGTACGTACCAGCTATGCGTTGGGCACTGTGCTGCCTATTGGATCCAAGAGTTAAAGCCAATGGTAGGAAATTAGTGTGGCTGCTCCGCTCGACATCGTCACTGAATCCAGTGCAGTTTCTCCTGCCTTGGGGTGGGCTGTGGCTATTCCATTCCTTAAGAAGTTCTAAAGGTTTAAGGTTAAGAGGTAATTGAGCACCTGTAAAAAGTTAACACGGCAAAGCCAGTGGTGGCCCACGGAAGCCCACAGCTGGAGATGACCAGTAATCTACTTAAGACTCATTTCAAAAACCTATTTTGTTGTTCCTTGTACCTTTAGGAGTGTGTCTAGCTTTTTCTTCTCTCTCTCCCGCTCATCTTTTTTTTTTTTTTTTTTTATTAAGGAAGATTAGCCCTGAGCTAACTACTGCCAATCCTCCTGTTTTTGCTGAGGAAGACTGGCCCTGAGCTAACATCCAGGCCCCTCTTCCTCTGCTTTATATGTGGGATGCCTACCACAGCATGGCTTTTACCAAGCGGTGTCATGTCCACACTTGGGATCTGAACCGCTGAACCCTGGGCCACCAAAGCAGAACGTGCGCACTTAACCGCTGTGCCACTGGGCTGGCCCTCCCTCTCGTCTTTCTCTTCTTCTTTCCCAATCCATTCTGCTTTCTTATTGCTTTTCTCTGTCATCTTCTTATTAGAACTCTTTTTATTGGGCATACTATGAAATCTAAGCTAATTGAAAAATATTTATTGGCTTGAGTAAAATGGCATGCCCCATTCTTAATTTTAAAATGAGATTAGCAGGACCATTCATAAGTTGAGTTTGGTTATTCCAAGCAAAAAAATGATCCTGGGCATTTAATTACACCTTGATTATGCTACATAATTTCCCTAATTTTTACTACACTGTTCTTGGTCAGTCTTTAGCTAGTCTCTTCCTGTGTTTTATTTTTTATGCTGTTAAAAACAAATATTAATTTCCTTAATACTTAAACCTTTGTATGGACCTTCATTTCAAGTAAGAGCAAATATAGAGTACGTAATATTATTTATTTAAACTTTGGGGTATGTGAGAATGTCATTTTCAGTAGAAATACATAATGAATTAGTGTTCTGTCCTCATTGCATTTTGCTCTGGATGGTTGTTTTCAGTTCTGAAAAAGGGCAGGCTGGAGAAGGTCACTGGGAGCTCCATCCGTCTTGTGATGTGTCTGTCAGAATGGGCTCCTGCTGTAATCGGTCCTTCTGGGAACAGAGAGGGTAGGAGGTGCCTCCTGCAGGGCTCTGTTCCCTGTGGTTGTCCTACTGGACCTTACACCAGTGACCTCTTTGGACTTGAGACCCTTCTGAAAAATGATGTCTTTCTAGCTCTAAAATCTGGAACTGCTTGGTCACCATAAATTTTACTATGTAACACTTGCCTACAGAGACAAGATAATTTGTTAAATTTTAACAAAATGAATTTTACTGGAATAGTGTACATGAGGGATTGTTGAGAAGATGTCACATTTGTACATCCACGTTTTATCTTATATCCCGTGTTCTTCTGTTTCAAACTGATATTGTAAGTTGTGCCTGGAGTCTGAATTGGGCTCTCTCATGGAATCCATGCTGACCTTTTATTCTCTCCACCATGCGGGACTAGTTGCGGAGTGGGGTGCAGCTGGATTGTCACAGACAAGGGCAAAGTTTCCATTTCTGAGACATCCAAGGATCCAGTTGGCCGATGTGCCAGGCTATGTTGCCAGCGCCCATGCATCCACCAGTATATCCTGGAAGGGTTTTGGGCATTAGCATCTTCCTAGGCAACTTATAGGAAAAAGACTATGAGAGGGTAACCCACAGCACAGTTGGCAAAAGGCAACAGCAAAGATGTGTATGTGAGGGAACGCAATCCATAGCCTGTTCATCTCTCCTCCTAGTTTTCAGGGCTCTACATCCTGTCCTTCACCGTCATCATGGTGGGGTTTATTCTGTACTGCTCCACCCCGACACGCACGGCAGAGCCGGCTGAAAGCAGCGTGCCACCGGTCACCAGCATTGGTATCGACAACCTGGCCCTGAAGCTTGAGGAGAACCTCCAGGAGACCCACTCTGCGGTCTTGTAGCTGGAGAAGGAGGCACACTGAGCGCCCGAGGCTTCCTGGGAAACCGGGAGCCCCACCAAGGTAAAGCAGAGCCTCCTGCCTGCTGAAGGGACACTTGGAAAATTATCAGACTCAGAGTGAAACTCTACAGCACTGGATTGGATCCAGTGGTTCGATTTTACAAAGGAAGGCAAAATAATGTATCAAGAGTAGAAATATCAAAATAGAGCAGAAGCCAAGGCTAGCATTGTGTTTCTGTATGTTTGAGGACCAGTACCTGTTGGTGTCAGACAAGATGTGGGTTCCACACTGGGGTCTCGCAGGCACAAGTGAGAAAGCAGGTGGGCAGATACCCAGATGAGAGCCAGCCTCAGGCCAGGGCCTGAACGCAGGCTGTCCAGGCTGGGCTGGGGGTGGGGTGGAGGGGCAGTCCATGGTGGTTGGGGAGTGGGTTTCCTCAGTTGGAGCCTTCTGATTTTTGTCCTGCTGAGGTAGTCATTGTCCACGGGCCTCACAGCCTTTGGGCCACAGATGAGGTCTGGTGACTGCAAGTGGCGGGAAAATGGCTGGGGGAGCACTACCTGAGATACAAGTGTGAGTACCACAGAAACATTAAAGTGGACTCCAGGAAACCTAGGAACCCTCTCCTGACGGTTAAAAGAGGCTACTACACTACTTTTACCAAATATTTGTAATGTGCCATGCGATTTTTATGATACTTCATCAATACGAAGTGTTAATATGTAGCATCATTATGATATCAGCTACTAGTATGCTGCTTTACAAAACTCTGTACGTAAACTTCTTTTTGTAAAAAATGTAATAAAGAAATTGAGGGTTCATATTATTAAAAGATTTTGATTTCATGGAAATACATTCACTGTGTGGTTTCTTTGATTAACCAGTTCCCCTTGTGGATTTTAAATAACTTAATATATTCAAGATTTCTTCATATCCAAATTTTCACAGTCATGTCTTCTTAAGGTGAGGCAAACCTATCTATTTGGGGCTACCTGAGAGGAGGGGAGTTTAGAGCAAGCTCTTGGATCATTTGCAGGAATAAATCTTTTAAAATTCTAAATTACCACAATGGGTTTTTTACTTTTTTTTTGCTGAGGAAGATTAGCCCTAAGCTAATATCTGTTGCCAATCCTCCTCTTTTTTCGCTTGAGGAAGATTAGCCCCAAGCTAACATCTGTGTCAGTCTTCCTCCACTTTATATGTGGGTTGCTGCCACAGCATGGCTGACTAGTGGTGTAGGTCCATGCCTGGGATCTGAACCCACGAACCCGGGCCACTGAAGCGGTACATGCCAAACTTAACCACTATGCCATGGGGCCGGCCCCTGGGTTTTCTACTCTTTTGAGTGAGATTACCTTTCATTCTCTGCAACCAATTAAAACTGATGTTTGGTTTTTACTCCCCACCGTTAACAACTGTCATTGAGTGAAAAAAAGGTTATGTTAGAATGTTTGGTCTTTGGGGGAAGACTTTCAGTTTGATTAGCACACTGATGATTTCTTAAAATGTCTTGCTTCAGACTAAACCTATACGTCTACATAGGGATAGTGGTGAAGGAGAGACTGTCAGGTGATGGTGTCCCACATGTCTGTCAAGGCTGAGCTGACAGGTCCTCTTTTCCATGAAGCCCTTCTCAGGCCATCTAGGCCGGGTCCCCCCTCCTCCAGGCTCTCAGGGTCCTTGTTCCTACCCTCCGTGTAGCCCTTACTGAAGGGCTTATGGTTTACCTGCTCCTCCTCACCACAGGTTGAGCTCTTCCAGGTCAACAATGGCCTTTTTTCATCTTTCTAGTCCTTTGGTTATCTTACTTCTTGGCTGTTTATTAAATAAACGTTGTCTTTGGTCCCAATTCAGAACATGTGAGGAGAGACTGACCTATAAAGTAAGGCCTTTCATGCAGATACACGCAGGCAGCAAGTTTTCCTACCCTGCTCTGCTCTTTCCACACATCACCCTTAATCCTAGTGATTCTCCTACCTGCTCCCTGTGCAGAGGGGCAACGGAGTTCCGATCCGGGCATCCAAGGTGAAACTCAGAATTCAGTGTTGCAGAGAAGCAACGCTGAGAATGCCATTCAGCGATTAAATAATAATGCTGCAGGGCTGTGCACCCTGGTTTAAAGACAGAGTTTAACCACCCTGTATGATATCGCGTCTGTGGAAAATGTCTTATCTGGATTACACACAAGCTTTTGAAACACAACACATTCTTAAGTTGAGAACCTCCCATCAGTCCTTTTGCAGCCTATTAAAACAATATTGATTTTTCAATATTTTTGGTAGATGTTCATGCCATTAAAAAATCCCTGCTGAATGGTGTAATAGAATTGCTAGATTGTTCCCTAGTGTTGTATAGATACAATAAATTGTTCAGTTGGACTGTGGTGACCCTGTAAGAAGAGAGGGCTTTGCTGGTGCCATTTTCACTATCTGCATTTTGAAATTAGGTTCTTTTTTGTGGACAGGTGGTTAACATTTCTCACCTTTCTGATAGGAGCGTCTCACAGAAATGACATGTGTTATCAGCGGCGTTTCCAGCAGGTGGCGCTCTAATAGTTGTTACGCCAAAGATCTCTGACAGGAACAGCAGTTTCATTTTATAGTGCCTCCATAATAGTGTTTCATTTTTGTTACACTGTTAAAGTGTTTCATTTTTGAAGAGGGCATTATGACGACTGTCCTCTGCAGGGATTGCCTTTGATTAACAGTTGAAGAAATCTGGGTCTCAGAAAAGTTGAAACGCCCTTTGCAGGTCACTTTTTGGAGTTTCGTGGAGAAGATGAAAACAAAATCCACGAGTCCCTTCAGTTCCGCCTGGATGGCTTCTGTAAACAGTGAATTTTGAGGGGGCTGATTCCTGTGGAACCGCTGAGCCAGCAAAGGCGAATGCATCTTTAGTGAGAAGAACTGGGAAGATTTTCGTGAAAAAACTGCCTTGATGGTGCAGTTTTCCCTGCGACTCTGGAGTCTGCCGATTAAAGAAACTGTCTGCATTCGTCTCTGAGGAGTCTTATGTATGCCTAGTCACGATTCTCTTTTCTGTCATTATTATGGTGATGTGCAATTTTCATCCACATTTAATCACTTAGTATCTGGACATATCCTCAGCCCTCAAAAGATAGCAATAAATCAGGGAAATTCAGCAGATAGCCACTTAGCTGATTAAAAGGGCAAGAGATTTATGAGGAAATTAGGTAATGCTGAGCATGCCGTTCTCCAACAGTCTTATAAAGGGGGTTTTGAGAAGCCTGGCCATGTCTGAATGGTCTATCAAGGGGAATAAAGGATGAATGTTCCAAAGTTTTTTCTCCCAGTGCTTTCATCATGCACTTTATTCTTTGGTTTAAATCTTGCCCTCTTCTAGCAATCTTAATTTAAAATGCAGGTACTTGAAGAGCGAAATTTAGACTGAAAGACAGAAAGAAGTGATGCCAATAGAAAAACATATAAGCCATTTGAACAATTATTAGCTCCAACTGACCTTAAGAAACATTCAGATGGTGCCATATGCTCATCACTCAATCAGCCATTACTGAGGCCAGGTTCTGTATACAAGGTGTGATGACTTGGGTTAGTAGCTGGAGTTTCCATGCCAATCCCAACTCCCTGACCGTGGATGGTACTTTCTTTCTGCCTGATGACTGTGCTTTTCCACTTTTGCCTGAGCATTTTGCATTCTTTCAGATTCCTATTCTGACTTTGGTCTTGTGATGCCATGTGGGACCTTGCCCACCTTGGTCTTCGTGAAAAGCCTGCTAGTCCATTGCATGCACTTTACATGGGAGGACACACACAGTCATACACACCACTGTCACCACCATCACCAACTCCCCCCACCCCGTCCCCACACCTTATTTCTCTAGAAATTGCTGATGTTGGTAAGATTGATTGCAGCAGCTTCAGGAATCTACCCCCATCCTTGACGCACTTCTAGAGGCATTCCTGCAGAACTTCATTTCCCCAGTCCCCAGTTGCATTGAGTGTATATGGTACCTTCACTTGGACACAATTGTTGTACAACATTTATTTGGTCTCTACTGTCAATTTGGAGATTGAGACAGGAGAGGGACGGCCAAGGCTTCATCCTTGATCTGCTAACTAATGTCTGAGACATGACAAAGCAGGGGGATTTGGCTCAGGTGAGAGGCAGATTTGGGTCGTGAGCACAGTACACTATCCTGAGTACTCTGGTCATGATGTGGGAACATGGTTCAAGTCCTCATCTCAGTGGGGGGAGCAGAGCAGGGGAACCCCAGGGCAGCCCAGGAGACACTCTCTGGGAGATCTGTTTGTAGAGAGCAAGGCACTCTCTAACTGCTTGGAGTTCAGTGGCCGCATGCCACTCTCCTAGGGAGAAGGCTGGCTAGGTTATGGGATGACACTCAAATAGACCCCCAAGATGGGGCAGGGAGAAGAAACTGGGGTAAAGGAGAGTCCTAGGCCCTTGGTTCTAGGATGAGCTCAAGAAAGGTGACCAGAAGCACTGAGGACAGACAACTCAATTTGGCCCCCAAATAGTCCTGTGCCCTTAGATTGTTCTTTAACCTTCTAAATAGACATTTCTCCAGCTGACTATCCCACCACTGCCTCAAACTCAGTGAGCTGAACTGAAGCACATCATGGTTTCTATCCTCTTCACTTCCTCCATCATCTGCTTTCACCTCAAACCTTTGACTTCCCACTTCTGATTTTCGTATTTCGTTAATGGCACTGTTCTAGTGTTGCTCAGATTCAAACCTTTGGAGTTATACTAGATTTATTCCTCACCCTTCACATCCCATAAGGCACCAGTGTCTCTTAGTTCTTCTTTGGTGACGTCTTTCATGTCTGTCTGTCTGTCTTTTTTTAGTTCTCACATTAGCTCAAACCCTTGTTACTTTGCTCAGACTAGTCCTATAACTGTCTTGTAACTATCTTGTAACTATCTGGAGTCTCAGTCTACAGTTTATTTTATTCTCTACATAGTCCTAAAATTATTGCAATCCTACATATTCCTGCTAAAGGAACTTTTCTAAAATATCCCCAGTTAACCCAGAAATCTTCAATGTCTCCTGGTTTCTCTTAGAATAAAGTCCAAGCTGAGCCTGACTGTTTTTACCTTCCCAATATCATCACATACTGCTTCCTCATACAAATTTAGTCAACAAGCCTGGTCTATGTTCACATGCTTTGTGGATTCTGCCTCTGTATAATTTACAGGCAGTTCTCCTTAGGTCCAACTCCTTCTTCCACTTCACTTTGTGTATCTAACGCCTACTTCATTCTCCAAGCTTCAGCTCAAGTGCATCTCCTCCTTCCTAGGGAGGGTGTCCACAGGTTTCTCTTCCTCTTCAGAGAGCCCATAGCACTTCCTCTTTTGTCCCACTCTGTTGACACACCAAGCATCCCGTAGCATGAACACACCACATTCCTCAGACTGTGTGTGACAGTTGAATGTGGAAGTCAAACAGTACACTTTCATGTGAAGAGGTTCATTGCAAGAGAGCTAAGAAATTCAAAATATGCAACTACATCTCACATTTTAGGCACATAGTTTGGTGACACATTTTCAGCACTTCGTTAGTATTTTGTATATATTCTTCATTCTTTTCTCCTCACAGCTTAGACCAGTGATCCTGATTGAGGTTATAGACTTACCACTTTCACGATTCCACTTTTTGGAAGATGGAAGCAGTTTCCATTTTTGTTCTATTATATTTATAAAAATTACACTCATCACTGGAATCTCATTTTCACTTCTTCTTGTAAAATAGGATGGGCAGGATGAGATAAAATAGTCAAACAGTTACATAAATAATAACTGCTCAGTGGAGATAATGCTGAGGTGAAACAATTGGCTGGCAGCAACATCATTCA